ATTACTTTGCACTTGGCAACCGTAGACCGATAATTACCAAGATTGCTCTTCAATTGGTAATTGCGAACTGTATAGACACCTTCTTACTTTTTTTTTTTTGTTGATTTTTGTTATGTTAGCACCACAAATTAAAGTTATAGTGTAAATATGTAATATTGTGATAAATACTAAAGATATGATTTATCCGGTGAAGTTTAATTTTATATAGAATATAAGAAAAGTTGTTACCTTAAAGTGTGGATTTTGAGTATATCTTTTTTTTTCAATCATTCTCGTTTTTATTCCAAAGTCATTCCAATATTGAGAAAATTTTATTTTAGTTATGTTTTAACAGATATTGAGTTTTTGATTGTATCTTTTGTAAAATAATATTTACAAAAATAAGTACGTTAAAAAAATAACAACGATATTTTATCTTTTGTAGCTCAAAACTAACTAAATGAATCGGATGATATTAAATCACTATTTTTAAATGAAAAAAATTCATAACTAAATTGATAAAAAAAAAAATAGTTCGAAATGATAAAAAAAATCGTGATAATATAAATAAAGAGTTGTTTACATTCGTAGTAGAATAGTGAATCGAATATTGTAGCAATTTTTAAAAACATGTTATCATGATTGAAATGAAATCTTTACTAAATTTTTTACTTGTAGTTAAGTTGCATATATTGTATAACTATATATGAAAAAAATAAAAAAAAATTAAAGTTCAAATATGCTATTTATTTATATGTATATAATAAAATGTACAGTCCAAATAATTAAATTTTTATTTATCAGTTATATTATTAATATTGATACCATGATTATTGTAAAGTTCTACTCTCATTTTTACGGCAAATTTATGTTATATTAAAATGAATTGAAAAGTCTAAAAGAGATATAGATTGAATTAAAAATATTGAATCGTAGTTAAATTATTTGATTCCATAATTATACTGATTTTAAAATGATGCTTCATAATATTTGATTATATAATAACATTGCTTTTAAATAGAATTGATTCCAAAAAATCGGATTTAGTGTTTAATAAAATATTATGGAATATTTTTTTAAGCAATAAATCTGGTTGTCGAGGGAAGTTAAAACCAATTGCAATTAAAGCTTCGAGGTTTGTTTTAAGGAATTGTATAAAATTACTATAATTAGGATGTAATTAATGCATAATGGCAAGAAATATTTATTGTATTTGATTTGCATTCTTATTATATACTAGTAGTACCCCGTGCGATGCACGGGACATAGATATTAAATGAGTTATTTTCACAGTCTTGTCCGTTTAAGTCTAAAAAGTAATAGGGTTATTATCTCTTTTCTACATATTTTATCAAAGTCTAAAAAACAATAGGGTTATAAACTTTTATTTTCACACCCTTGTCCGTTTAAATCTAAAAAGTAATAGGGTTATTATCTATTTTCTACATATTTTATCAACGTTAAGTCTAAAAAATATAGAAAGTACGTTTAGAATTTTATCAGATAAATGTTTAAGCTATTTATGATTATAAAATCAATATTCAAATATAAATATACATGTTGAAACATATTTATCATATAAGGAATGACGTATTTATGGAGTGCATTGAAAAAAAAAAAAAAATTGAGTGTAATAATTTTTATAATTTGTGTAATCAGTAAAATGGTTTTCAACACGTACTCAAATTGTATCATTTTGACATGATCGTGTGTATTCACATTCCAGTTCAATTTATAAATTTAATTTATAAAAACATAATTAATCGATTATAATAATTGATGTACATGATAGTGTGTATTTCTTGTTCAAATGCAATAACTAACAATTGATTTACAATTTATAATGGAATCTGCATCAATGCAATTATGTATAATCGTGAAAATTTGTATCCGATACCTATATATATTAATGTTTATTTAATGGGTCGCAGTTATTAGTATGATGATATATTATAGTAAGTGTATATTTCCACGTACTCAAATATGATTGATTTTTAAAAAGAATCTTTTAATTGACAATTATTAATTAAATGTTTTATATTGTATTTTAAAAAATTTTAAAAATACGTATGGTAAGTGTTAAATTAAGTGTATTAAGTATGGTAAGTGTATTTTTTAGATTTATTTGGATTTTGATTATATTCCTAAAAAAAAAAAAATCGGATAAAACATATATGCTAATAAATAAAGATTTTGTTAATATACTATTTTTAGGCAATAATTAATGAAATTGGCGGGAAAATATTTCTAAAAAGTGAATTATGTTAATCCTTATTATATATTAATAGATATAGATATAGATAATGTAAAATAATATTGATATGACAATATTATTTAATGTAATTTATGAGGAAAAAAAATGTAAAATAATCATTTGTAGTTATAAGAATACAAATGATTAAATATTATTTTTTTTAATAAATTTGCAGAATGTTAGATTTCTAATTAAACATTGTATTAAAAATTTTAAAACATAAAATACATAATATATATATTTTTTAATTTGTGGAAAAATAAATACCTTTGAGGTGTAAGATGTCAAACGGGAAACAATGGAGATGCACGGCCATGTCCATGCCGGAATTATATTATTCCATAGATTTTGCCTACATATTAGCAAATTGAGATTGTATTCTGGATGTATCAGCTTATTCCACAAATCAATATCTAACCAAATTTTGAAAAGTGAATTGTATCAGTTTATTCCATAAATCAATATCTAACCAAATTTTGAAAAGTGAATAAAAATCGGATTGTATCAATTTATTCCTAAAATTATGGATGCTCATTAATTTCTTATCCCAAATTGTACTAACATTCTAAATTTAGCATTTAATTAATAAAATTGGCAGGAAAGAGTTTATAAAATTGAATTATGCTAATCTTTATTATTATATATTAATAGATATTAAAAACCATATCCGACAAAATGCCTGAAATTCTATACCATAAATAACTATCAGAAATAGATATATAAGATTATTAAAGCAATTTAATTCAGTCTGTTTTCGAAGGAAAAAAATAAAAAATAAAATGAAATCGATCTACTTAATCCTCTCGCATTTCCTACCTTATAAATTTGTCACTCTGTTTAGAACAACGTAAGTTACGTAACTCACCACCCTAAAAGAAAATGGAGTCCCAAAACAAAAGAGAAACCATCTTCCGATCCAAA